AGAGAGAGAGAGAGAGAGAGAGAGCGGGAGAGAGATCAGTACTGCGAATGCCTACAAAAAGACTTTATGCTGTCACAAATTTGAGGTTATTTAGTGAGTGGTTGGTTGGCAGGTGCTCTGGTGTGGTTTGCTCCTTCTTTCCTATCAAACATCTATCGTCTTTATCTCCATTCCTTCTTTTTTGTGTTTGTCACTCCCTTGTAACACCTAATCTTCGGCCCTTTTATGACTTTATTGTGTTGCAAGTGCCGTAAACTCTTACGAAAAAAAGGATATTTAGAATACATGTTTATAGCTGTGTTGTCTGATGCAGTCAATCCGCTCACTAAAAACCTTTGATTTGACTCCGAGCTTTATGAAATCGTGAGTGACACTGGCTTGTGGATGCCATCACAGATATTGAAAACAGAGAAATGGCAGTGTGATTTTTATACCATTTTACAGATTATGAGTTGTGGGATTCTGGGATTTTTTTTCCTGCTTCATAAACGATATAAATTGTGTCGATAGTGATGTGAAATATTCATTGCCTTTTGGATCATTTTGTGAAGGGATATTACTTTGGTTGAGTGATTAAAATATTTCAAAAAGTAAAATGCAGCTGCACCCTAATTTGAATGTTCATTGAATGGTTCGTGTTTAGTAAAGTGGGATGGATAATAGGCAATGTGAAAGCGTTTCTTATGAATGAGTGGGGACTGTTGTCTCTTCTAACCTGTGCCCTTGCAACACAGTGTACTTATTACTACTGGTGTTGAGTTTTTAAGACTAACTATGCCATTTTCTGTAAAGGCAACGCAAGACGTCTCGAAAGCGGTTAAACAAAAACCCCCAAAAAAAACCAAACAAAAAAAAATGCCTACAAACCATCACACTATTCTAGAAGTAGAAGCAAATGAGCAGAAGAATCGGTGAACAGCTTGGGTACTGTTTGTTTCTGAACAACTGCACCACCGCGCCTTGGTCAGTTGGCCCCCACAAGTGAAAATATGTGGGACTTTGTTTGTGCCAAATGATAGTAATTATGCGTATTATAAGTATAAATTACCATTTTGAAAGATGGAGGTGCCAAATGATAGTAATTATGCGTATTATAAGTATAAATTACCATTTTGAAAGATGGAGGTGCCAAATGATAGTAATTATGCGTATTATAAGTATAAATTACCATT